AATAATTCAGAGCCCCTGTTTTATGTATTTTGTATGTATCTTAACCAGATACAAGTCTCTTTAAAACACATTGCATTTTAAAGAGACTTGTATCTATATCTAGTAGATACAGAAATTAAACACGGCTTACACAAAGTCTTAATGAATATCTTTATCCCCCCCCCTGCAGTGGGAAGCAGCCACAGCCTGTCTCCTACAAACTTTACAGGCATCAGCTGATGACGGGTGGGCGTGGTCACAGCTGGGCGACCTGTATGACAGGCAGGGGGAGAAGAAAAAAGGATCAACCTGTTTCCAACAGGCAGCGAAACTAACAGGTGTCTGTTCAAGTGCTCATGACATCAGAGTACAGCCTTATCCAGTGGTAGAAATACTTTTCTCCAGTGTTAAAAGCAATATTGCAGAATTTCAAGATTTGGTTTTGGATTTTGCAATTTCGAAATACTTTCTGCAAATACACACTTATAAGTCTGGACATAAACCCATGGCACTATACAAAATTGCTTGTCGGCAACATTTATATATTTTTGCAAGCAATTTGAAAAATACATCAAAAGTAATATTTTTTATGATGTCAGTAGTAAACACAAAGCTCTTAAACATTGTTATGCCGACATCATTGAGTCTAGCCTGATTTTTTCAGTCTGCAAAATTGCAGGTTGCTTAATTTTTCTTCTGCAATGTTGAAAATGTCTCTGCAAAATGCAGACTGGAGACGGGTATTTCTAACACTGTTATCTGATTGTAGTTGCCACAACTTACATGTATATGTATTTACCTGCGGCTAAGTGGCTAACAGACTACAATTTTTTTATAAATACACACGGTTCTCCATTACATTCGAGTTTTCAATGCCTCTCTTACATTTTATTTTTGCATTTCTGTATTTTTTACTGAGCTGATGTCATCGAGTTGTTGGAAGTTTGAGATTTTGAGGACGTTACTCAGTACATGGTCAGATAATGATATATCTCAAACCAACTTGCTTTCTGTGACTGTACTCTGTCATTAATGCGAATCGTGTCTCAGTTTAATGCTGTCCTTAGTGCTGAATTGCTTTCCTCTCACTTATTGGCCTTGATTCGTTATTATGTTGTTTTATAATTTCAGGGAAACTTACAGACTTTGTGAGGAAGTGGCATTTTTTAGGTAAGAAAAAGATATCATGGTTAGATTATTTCTTGCAGCGTGAACTATATGTACAATGTACACTGTTGTGAGTACAAACAGTATCATAATGATTGTGTTTACATGTGTATCTGCACCAAACATGTTCTTTACACCATATTAAATGTTTCCAGGTCCTACTACTGGTGACTACTACATGTACATGTTTGTATTTCACAGGCTAGCTCTTCAGCTGCAGGGCAAATGTAAAACATGTCCCCAAGAATATAAATTACATGCCTATCCTGGAGCTGAAGCCTTGGCCTAAAAATAGGCCCTGGAAACACTGTCTGACATTCATGTTACAAAAAACACTCTGAAATCTTTTCATTAATTATAACATGATTGTTAATTAACGGTGTTTGTTTCATTAACTTTTAGGCCCATTTGTGATTGGTAAGATTGAGATGGATGGTGACCCCATTGCATCCTGGGGAGGTATTGCCAACGTCTCCTCCACCAGGTTCAACAAGAAGGCTGTCTTCTACTCTGAGTTAGTACAGGGCGGGGAGGTTAAGTGGAGCATTGTTAACCAAAAGGTGAGAAAAATCATTCTGCATTTTTACAAAATGAAACAAACAAGATACAGTGTTTTTTTTTTAGAACAATGACCAAAAATTCCTATGACCTGATACACAGATTCAGGTGAAGGTTCAGATCTGAATTGCTAGGTATTAGGGTTAAAAGGGCTTGATCATGTACCACCTGCATGTACAGGTTATTGCAGGTAAACTTGGGGCTGTGAAGGTATTTCTGATGTCTAAGTGGTACCTACACCTACATGTAACTTGCACTGGTCCATGCGCTGGGTTTATTGTAATATGGCATTAGTTTCTGAAGTTTTAGTGTGATCCATATATCCACTCATGCACAACTTAGGAAGTCTATACATAATGTATTTCCTAAATTATGAGCGGTGCAGAAAGAATTTGTCTCACGCAGGTAACTGACTTTCAAAAACTCAAATGGTTACCAATCTTTGGAAAGTTTTGTACATCATAATGTAGCTTTGTTGACGTTCACATGTACAGTACTATTACTTAGCCTTACAGGGTGAGGTACAGGTGAAATACCAGATGTTTCTGTGTTTCCAGTCTGCAGGTGAGAGGTTGCAGGTGTCTCCGCAGCTGTCCTGGAATGACCTGGTCATGTCGCTGGGTTCCATGGCCATCACAGAGTGGCAGGGCTGGCTGGTCGGCGAGTTTGCCGTCAACGACAACGATGTCAAAGTGCTCGTACAAACCCTGGGTATGTATACAAGGACAAATACAAGTACCAAAAAGGTAATTAAGGTACATTTAGTCCCATAGTCTTTGGGTGGAGTGTATCCAGATGGATATCAAGGAGTGTGGTCTGTCTAGCACAGACCCACAGGACAGAGCCAGCTGGAAGCGTGGTGTCCTGAACAGCCGACTGCTGCCCACCCCTGGGACAGGGAAACCGGCAGCAGAATAATCTAAACCAGGATAGTGAGTGTGTCAGTGAGTCTTTCTAAGGCCATAGGGACAATGGGTTGTTGGTCCACTGTGTCTAGGGCACGGTATTGGAAGACAAACCAATCTCTATCTGCTTCCTCCGTCTTTTACCTCCCCAACCAAAGTCATGTACCCATTTTGTACCTAGGTACAGTGAGTTGAGTGAAGTGCCTTTCCCAAGGACACAATGTCTTGCCAGGAATTATACCCATGACCTCATTATCTTCCTTCCACTATCCCAAATTCTTGGTCATTTGATGCCACTTTTTAGAGTACAATATGTTATAGCTACATCTATAATGGGACAATAATAATTTACTGCTTTGGTGTAAAAGAGGTAGGTTCATTCTGATCTATACTGAAAGAACCCAGTGGTAGATTTAAAAGTTTTTGGGGTTACAGAGTTCCATATTCCCCTTTATGTAATCTCCATAATGCAGGGCTCAACATGCAGTTTTCTGCATTAAAAATATTACTGTGTTAAATTCCATGCACTGCCAGATAGAAATACCTACTAACACTAACCTGCATATGCAGGTGACATTTCCAGCCCTGCAATGTCTTTATTGCATAACAGTGATGAACATATTTCAACCCTTCTCAGGTGTGCCAACTTTCTACATAGACAACATCCCTATAGCTGGAGAGGTGTACCATAGAGACCAGTACTGGTAGGTCACTGATTTTGCTTGAAACTTGTTGATTTAATGGAATATTTATTTTCTTTCCAAAATATATACTTTACAGAATTAGTACATTTCATCGTTAGGTACATATAGATTAGAACATAATTCAAGTCCTTTTCTTTTTCTGCTGACTTGTGCAGGTTTTCTGTTCCTCTAACAAGAGGAATCCACACTGTATACATCCAACTGAGAACAAAAGTTACACAGGTAAGTGTTCAAACATCTGTCTGTTTCCAAGTTTAAACATCAAAGACACTAGTAACATGATCTATATATCTTAGATGGTACATGTCATTTTTTGGTTATGGAAGGAGATGATGAAGCAAAAAATGGTTCTTACACCAAACCAAGGAAACATCTATTAAAAGTTGACAAACATTTGCAAAGAAAATGCATAATGTTTAACTACCTTCAGATGGTCTAGCCCAACAAACTATTGCTCTGTTTATTCTTAATCAAAACATTCATATATATGGTCACCAGCTTCTCCAACCTTGTACTGGCACTCCAACACCTCAGAAATGTCTTCTACACCAGGAGTTACTATTGTGACAGTTTTTCTGGATTTGTTTGGAGAAGAAGAAGAAACAAAGCAAAAACCAATGATATGTTTTCATTTTGCAAAGGCAAAACATTAAATAGTTTTTATAATGGCATTTCAGCACCAAGGACAGACATGGAAACAAAGGTGCCCCAAACCAAGGAAACATGTACCAAAGAGAAACAAACAAATTTGCCTACTTGTAGATTATACCTAAATTTAAGTTAGACCAGAGTTTTGTGAACTAAAGAATACAATCATTGTGGCTTAGATGTAAGCAAGAGATATTATTGTAGATTTTATTTTGAAGCCGTTAAAACAAAGCATTAATTTTTTATTTCAATACCTCATTGACATCCTTACAATAGTTGTGTATCTTGTTTTCCAGCAATTGATTTTCAATCTAAAGCAGGCTGGTAAGTTCGGTTGTTTTTTTTAAACAGTGATTTTAGTCAGATTTCATTTTATCATACAAATAGATAATGCTATAAAAAGTATAATTTCCTCTTTTCAAGTTGAGAAATCTTTTCCCCTAATCATACATTTTCTGCCCTTACATTCTTACATTGCAGGAAGCAATGTATTAGAGGTTCTGACCCCTCCCTACCTACCAGACCTGCTAGATGGTAGAGTCCTTGGTCATGTGATCCCTCTGCCAATAGCCAATCACCATCCAACACACTGGATCAAGAACATCAGAATTTCATTGGTCAAGCAGGAAGGAGGCCCAAAAGTTTCAATCAGCCAACCAGAGATCAGCAGAAGGTTTTCAGTAGCACCTGGCCAGGTATCTGCCAGAAACTGCACTTATCTTGACTATCAGTTATCCTCCCAGATGCTTGCTAACATTGTATTTTGTGTCTTTTTGGAAATTTTCTATGGTAACTTCATTTATCAAATAAACATTGAATGTTGATCTCCTTTTCTACTATTTGTGCTGTATGTAGGTAAGAATACATGATGTGTACATCACAGCAAATGAAGGGGTGTCTTCAGTGAAGACTTCTTGTCAGGATATGAAGTAGGCACTCCAATTTCTCTTTACCACACATGTGTCATTTAATTTAGTTACTCTCTACTGGGTTGTCTCAGCACCTTTTAGAACACCTCTATGTGCCTTAGAAGTATAGAAGTATGGGAGGATGTACGTCCAACAAAATGTTTTTTCATCTCTTTTTTTATTGACAAGTCAAAAATATATTCAACAAAAAAGAAAACCACAGCACATATACAAAATAATTGAAATACTTGTGTAACAACAAAACTGAAACATCAAATGATGAAACAATGGTCTATGGCCATAATAATAATAGTGAAAATAATGAGAAAAATGAGAAACATATCAATCACATAATTGTTTATGTATACAATCAAATCAACTTAAATCAAAAGGACAGCAACCAAATGTTTGATTTTGAGATCTGTATCTGTATCTGTATAGCCGGTATAACCGCCTTTCGGCGTAACACACCAGCTTCGCAGGCACGTGGTGTGGCGGCAGCTGGCTATATTACACCGATCGACTTGTTACACCTAACCCTTGAACTTCTAGCTCTAGACATTGTTTAAAGCTATCTATTGACAATGCCTCTACTGTACTTGGTGACAGTGAGTTCCATTCTGCGATAGTTCTAGGAAAGAATGAATTCTTGAACACCTCAGTCCTCTGGTACTTGAAGGCATGGCTATTTCTTGTTCTCTTCTGGGCTGGTATTAGGTACTTAGTAGTTGGGATGTGTCATGGACAGAGTGAAAGACAGCTTTTCAAAGATTTTGTTAGAGAATGCAGGTCTTATATATTACCCTAGTGTGTTGACCACATGTAACATTATCTCTGTTCCCCCAGATTAACCCTACAAGTGAGCGGGTCGGAGGGCAACACTCAGGTCATCACCATCAGCCTGAGATGTCGCACATACGGACAGTCGTTTGTTTTCACTTTCCTGGACCATGATGGATCCGTAGGTCACTTTGCACAACATATTAAACAGCGAAATCATATGCTTTTATTAAATTAGTATGAATCAATAATAAATCACACACACATGGGCTTTGTAAGGCTGATGATGTGTTAAAGAATCAGGCTCTGAAAATTTGTGAAGTCAGTATCTAAAGAATCTGGTTCAAGTGACCATCTACAGCAATAAGAGAAAATTCTAAGCCAAAATTGTAAAGTTTATTCTGTTGGGACCTTATGGATGACATTGAAAGAATGGTAAGGCCAATTTAATTTGTTGTTTCTCGGATTTGCCCTGTCTATTTTTTTCTGATTTGCAAAAAAAAAAGAAACATGTTTATTGTTCTAAATAAACTGCAGAATGCTCAATGAAAAGACATTTTGACCCCAACGGTTGAAGAATGTCCATTTCTTCCTAGTTGTTAAAGTTGTTCAATGTAACAATGCAATTTGGTTTCACTAAAAGTTCAAAATCTATTGTTTTAATTATAAACCAGCCTGGTATGTTCACTTCATGGCTCATATTGTAACATTTCCGGCTATCATGGGGTGCCTTGGCCTGTTTTTTTTTGCCCTGTCGCTTCATATTTTTTCTGAAAAAAATCCGAGAAACAACCAATTAAATTGGTATGGCCTAATATAGACACAAACCCTTGTTTGTATGAACTGTAGGTTCAGCATGCAGCAGCTATCCCACCTCTACAGGACTGTGTGACCAGTAGGTGTCCGGTAAGTACGACATATGTTTAGAACCCTAAATATCTTTCTTGACACTGATTGTTACAGTTCTTGTTTGTCAACAATTGTTCTTACCTTTAAATCAGTTCTCAAGAAAACCTGTTATAATACATGATGGTAAAAATATTCCCACTACCAAAAAGAGCATTTTAAAAATCATATCTTGTTCAATGCCTCCCTTTATTATTGAGGTATGCCAATTCGATGGATAAATATCAACAGCCATATAACTGTTACATGAAACAGTAATATTTTAATTCTATGGTTTGACTTGTGTTTTCAGGTGTTACTGACTCATCATGGCACAGGTATGTGTGGTAATGATATTGTAAAGATAAATGGTTCAATCAAAAAATATCAAAATGAAAATAGTGTATATGATGGCATTTCAGCACCAAGGACAGACATGTACATGCAGGTTTACTGAAACTGATTCTGAAACTGTACATTTTACCAGAAAGCAAATTTAAAGCAGTTTGCTGTCATCTCTTGAATCAATGCATAATTTCTATGTTAACCTTGATAAGTTAACATGAGCAATTCACGCAGCTAGGAAATTTGAGACTTCAACATTTTCTCAGTTCAATATGAATATAAAGACAACAAGAAGTAATCTTCATTCGTCCTTATTTTGCGTTTTTGTGGTGTCCCGTTTGAAGGTGTGTCTGCTCAGAACCAGGCAGACAGTTATAAGAGAATGGAGGGTGGAGACTGGAAGTTTGGTATAGAAACAGCCTGGACTCTGGCTCCAACAAGGTCAGCTTAATGATGCTCCCTTCATTTCCACTAATCAGCAATTGATGAGCAACTGTACAGCGATCAAAATTGGATCTGTGTGACCCTTGATTTTCATAATTTGAATATGATGCAAGATGTAAAAGTACATTTAAAAGACAACAAAACACAGGCATTGTAAAAAAAAAAGTTCTTTTGGTAACTTAGTGGTCGCTCAGCAGTTACAGCCTTTAGCGGAAAGTTTTTTTAAGTTAAATCCTTTCTGCACCATGGGGTGCATAGGGCAACACCCATCTCCGGTTCAGTAGCCCTTGGGCCACACAATTGTGCAATCTCTACAGAAGGGGGCTAGTCCACTGGTAGTATTGTGTGTTTAACTCCCATACTCTTTCCCAAATGCTGAGTGCTAAGCAGGGAATCAAAGCAGTTTGTACCATTTTTAAAGTCTTTGGTATGACTCGGCCGGGGATTGAACTCAGGACCTACCGAATGCAAGCACTGTACCCACTTGGCCATTGCTCCAGTTCGAAGTGGAAAGGGGGTAGTAAAGTACACAGTGGCAGTATTGATGATAAGCATGTTTTCCTTTTTCATGCACATACATGTACGTACACTTTCAACATTTTTCCTTCTCCCATAGGCATGGAGCACACAACTGGGAGGGTCCAGGAGCGTTAACATCCATGACAGCATTGCACCGCTTACAAGAGGTACATTAATTTTGATTTATATATCTATTACCCTATAGCACCCTCAACAAAGTTTGGGTACCATACATACAAAACATACATGACATACAAAACTGTAGAACAAAAAAAGAAATACTTCATAAAATGCAAAAACAGGCCACTACTATAGCAGCTACTGTTGTTACCTTACACTTTGCTGTCTTTACACCTTAAGACATTGTCATTAAATCAGAATGCCATAGGAAATACACAGAGACAGAGAGCGTAGGAAATGGGCCTAACAGAAGTTATTTTGCATGTTGCTATACAGTTATATTATTGCCCATATCAGCATTATATTTTATTTCTCATGCCTTTAACATTTCAGTTGGTAGAATCAGCATCCTGGATACAGAACAAGGTGGACCCACAGAGGGTGATCTTTGCAGGACACTCCATGGGGGGCCACGGGGCGTGGCACCTAGCAACCCGCCATGCCGACAGGGCCCTGGCCGTGGTGTCTCTGGCCGGGTGGATCAAGAAGGAAGAGTATGGGGACAGCAATGTTTTCTTCAGGTAAGAATGTTATAATATTGTTAGGCCACACCAATTACATTTGTTGGTTCTCAGATTTTTTCAGAAAAAATATGAAGCAACAGGGAAAACAATGTATAAATACATTGTAAAAAGCCCAGATGCCAGGATTGAAGCCATGACATACCAGCCTGGTTTATAACTCAAATAATGAATTTCAACCCTTTTATCAAACCCGTGCATTGATTGATGGAAAAAAACTGTAACAACTAGGAAGACAAGGAGCTGGATAAAGTTCATAGTGCATTTTGTTAGTCCCATGTACTTTTTTCAGACAGTAGTGGGCAGTGAGTTGTTGATCCACTGTGTCTGGGACACAGTATTGGAAGGTTGTGCCTATATCTCTCCTTTCACCACTTTTTACCTCCCTAACCAAAGTCATGTACCCATTATACACCTTGATGGAGTGAGGAAAGTCATGTAAAATGCCTTTCTCAAAACATCTTGCCATAAAAGCTATGCATCAAAACTTCTTGTTCTGGTGTCTGCTAGCCTAACAACCTGGCCGTTTAGCACCACTGAAGCAGAGAAAGACAGAAACATATATTAGCTATTTACATGTAAATGGCTCTCATAATCCTGTAGTCATTATATGCAGATGTTGGGGCTCAATTAAAAATTTTGTCTTCCCTTTCAGACATGACATCAGTACCAGTACTGCTGACCCTTCAGTAAAAGCTATTATGGAGGTGAGTATAATTTGTTCAACTGAACTCTTCCTTCTCAAGTAGCCATTTAGCACCAACTTTGTATTGTTTATAGGGTTATCAGGGAGAAGGTTGAAGGGTGATATGTAATCTTTAATAGCATGGATCCTGATTTGCATTCTGCTCATATGTGTTTCAAACAGTCAAAAGTTTGTTGGACTCAACCAATGACTTGGTTTTTCATTACTTTTTTCCAGTCTTGCATTGCAGAAAATGATGCAGACAGACATGTGTCAAACCTACAAGTGGGTTTCTATAGAATTGTGTTTTCAAAGAGATTAGTAAACAGTTATCTGTTAACTAACTGTTTCTTGCTCTCCTGTCTTGCACTGAATTTATTTAATAATTATTAATCCTTTGCAGAAGGAAAACATAGTGTCTTTTTCTTCTTCTTCTCCTTTTTCCTTCTTCTTCTTCTCAAAACAAAGAAGGCCAATAACCTGGACCAGATGGCTGTCACCATTGTGACTTTGCTGTAGCAGACATGCTTTGGTATTGGATTACATTAAGTAGCAAGTGGCAGTACATAGTTGGAGGCACTGGTCACCATGTTTTATTAACAGAATTAACTGAGTGTTTTAGTAATAATAAACAGAGCAGTAGTTTGATGGGAATTTTGGATTGACCATGTGAAGGTACCGTTAAATATTATGCATTTGTTTGAAATAAAAGTTACTTTTCTAGTTTAAAACAGTCTTTCCTGGCATAGGGAGTTCCAGTGCTTACCAGGATTGGTGCAGATGACCGAACTGTTCACCCATTCTTTGTCAGGTATGGTCAAATAAACAAATGAAGAATAATGCTAATAACTATTGCCTACTGATTTCTCACATAAAAAAAGAAAACTTTGTAAGGGTTGGAAAAATCTAGTCCTTCAGTCTTGGAAATTTGTCAAGAGTCCTGTTATTTCCTTCACAACAGCCATGTACTAAAAACAATGATTAATTGTGCTCCGTTATTTTCCAGACGAATGTACCGCCTTCTCCAGGAGACAGGGCTGAATGTTACGTACAGTGAGCTGCCTAAGAAGGAACACTGGTGGTGGGACACCTGGTAAGTATGGCTGCCTTTGTCTAGTGTCAATGAAGCTACAATATTTGTTTTTGTTGGTTTGTTTGTTTTTCCTAACCGGTTTACCACCTTTAGGTCATAGCACACTGGTTTTGTACAGTAAGTACAAGCTGAGTAAGGCCAGACTGTAATGTTTGAACCACTCACACTGGGAAGGTCCCCTAGTATTTCAATGAGTGCGATAGGTACTGGAATGGCTCTTCTCAAATGCAGGACCTCCAGCTGTACATCCCATCAGGAAAGATTTTCCTCACTGAATCTACTTAGTTTTAAGCTGTGGAAATAAGTGAGAAAATAGGTGTAAAGTGCATTTCCCAAGGACACAACAGTGTCTAATGGAAAGCACTTCATAATAAAAATTAAACTGTTCTCAAACTAAGGAAAAATGACTCACCAAGAATTTTTTACTGAATCACTCGGTCTTCATCAGCTTTCTCACCCAAGTCAGGGTTTTTCTTTAGGTTAATTTTTTCTTCAGTTTCATTTTCATTATGTATTTTACCAACTCAGATGCACTTTCATGCTAAAAAGCACTTCAATGTTTCCCAGGGACACCAATGATGGAGGTGCAGTGAACGACCCACAGCTGAGGCAGTTTGAAATGGAACATTCCAGACCAGAGACGGACACAACTGAAGAGGGAAGTTGTTCTCGGGACGGGGCTGACTGTGCAACCTCTCAGGGCTCCAACAGATACAAGAAGTTAGTTTTACATTTTGACTTTGTTTAGCAGTGGAAGGAATCTTGTTTTCTATACCTAATTTTGTGAATAGTGTAGTAGCTATAGATATAAGATGCAAAGTTTAGGATAAGTGTTGATTACCAAACATGTACAAGAATAGCTAAGATCACTATTGATGTAGTGCTATCCAGGACTTAGTGCTATCCATGGTACTGAATCCATGGTGCTGACTCCATGGTGCTGAATCCGTGGTGCTAAATCCGTGGTGCTGACTCCATGGTGCTGAATTCATGGTGCTGAATTCATTGTGCTGAATCCATGGTGCTGAATTCATGGTGCTGAATTCATTGTGCTGAATCCATGGTGCTGAATTCATGGTGCTGAATCCATGGTGCTGAATCCGTGGTGCTAAATCCGTGGTGCTGACTCCATGGTGCTGACTCCATGGTGCTGAATTCATGGTGCTGAATTCATTGTGCTGAATCCATGGTGCTGAATTCATGGTGCTGAATCCATGATGCTGAATCCACGGTGCTGAATCCATAGTGTTGAATCCATGGTGCTGAATCTGTGATGCTGAATCCATGGTGCTAAATCCGTGGTGCTGAATTCATGGTGCTGACTCCATGGTGCTGACTCCATGGTGCTGAATCCATGGTGCTGAATTCATGGTGCTGAATTCATGGTACTGAATCCGTGGTGCTAAATCCGTGGTGCTGAATCCATGGTGCTGAATCCATGGTACTGAATCCATTGTGCTGATTCCATGGTGCTGAATCCATGATGCTGAATCCATAGTGTTGAATCCATGGTGCTGAATCCATGGTGCTGAATGACTATCAAATGGGCTGCAATGATAACTTCTTCACACCAAATAGCCATAGATTGTAGGGACCTCACAGTTCTATTTCCCAATGTCCAGGTTACCTGATGGCAGCTACACCCTGACTGTGATGAACCCTGCTTCAGTAGAGGGTGGGAGGGGGGTACAAGTCCTACAGCAGACTGTACCCATGAGAACCAGCACAGTCAAGGTCAAATATCTTGGTTTCATTCTTATTTAGTTATGAAATATTTCATCCCATCTACTTACGCATTAAGCATATCATGATTCTACAAACATTTGTCTTACATAGTGCTAGTGCATAGCTTTCAAAAGACCATGGAAAATTAGAAACTTAAATTTTATTCTTATGGAATGACTAGCTTTTACACTAATCTTTGTTCTTACCAGACGTTGTGGAAATATGATATCTGCAGGCATTTATGTGAAAGAAAAAGACACCATGAGTTGAGAAATCAACTTAAATTTTTGTAGTGTCAGTACCATGTGAACAGCTCTGCTGCAGCTATTTTCAGTGACATTCTTTGAGTACATGGTCCTTGAGGAAGCATGGGTGGATTGTCTCAATAAGGGTTGAGAAAGCAACTGTCATTTTTGTCCTAACTCTAGATGGAGTTCCAACCTGGACAAGCCATACTGGAGACACAGAATGTCGCTCGCTTCAGTCTGTATGAACCTGACCTTCATCCTGTAGGGTGGGCCAAAAGGACACTCGAGGTCGACGGGGTCACTTTTCAGGACACACATGATGTTACTGAGAGTGGGGTCAACTTCTGCAAGAAGGAAGGTAATTCAGAAAGGAATATTAACAATACGAACAAAGACACCATCAGAACATGCTGTCCCAGGGCAAAACGCAGAAGATAATATGCATAGCTCTTCTACAGCTCTCTACAAAATGTGTTATTTCAGATTGCATTCACATTTCTAAGGAGGACATCCTATTTGTGGTTTGGAAATGTTACATTGGAAAACATGTCTTATACAGCAGACAAAATTTTGATGCAACATTATGACCAAATATCCAACAGAGACAGTGCTTTTATGCAGGTGCAGTACGTTCTGCCAATGTGCTTTTAGTAACCTTACTGGAAAATTGTCGAGCATTATCTGAGATTTCATTGACTATGTAGTCAAGAAGTTTGTATGTTCTTTCATTGCCAGGTACATGGAACCTTTGTAGTGACGGTGAGAGTTTTGAAACTGAAGGACAAAGAGGTCCACACAACATGGGACCTGCCAGGAGGGTGGCAGAACACAGGTTCCTCATAGTCACTGGTAAGTACACAGTGAACCTCAACACCAAGCAAAATTCTATGTGCAAACAGCAAGCATTCATATTATGTTCACCTTGATAGACAAGCTAAATTCTGTAAGTCTTGTGAAGCTTTTACTGTATGAGATGTACAGTGACTGTAATTGTATGTTATCTAATGATAATAAAATAATGATAGATGTATCATAATAAAAAAATTATGTATCTTCTCCTCTCCTGAAAGAGTTGCAGTCACTTAATAGCTAAAACAGAGACAAAAACACCTGGTCCAATAAATAAAAATATTGGATGTTTGTCTTACCTGCATTACCCCCATGGCAATCTTTTGGTTGATACAAGACAATATGTAACTGACAAGGCAGTATCCAATATGCCACCGTAAAAAGGTACCAGTACAAAAAAAGGAAGCCTGATAAATATACCTATAGTAAAAAGACTTTAAAAAATAAGCCAAAGCCTAAACCTTACTTGGAGAGTACCATCTAAGGCTTAGGTCACAATTCCAAACCACAGCCCGGCCAGGTTGTTTGCATAAATGGAAGATCCATATCAACAATATACACAAATTTTTACTCTTGATTATTTTTATTATATGTGTGTTTTGTGTTTGTTATTTTTTATATCGTAGTTGTCATTCCTAGAAACTACTGTCCAGTCTGGCCCTTGTTTAGGAGTTGTGACCTTAGCATAAGTTATACAGTTCTGTTTGTATGGCCTGCCCAGGGACCCATGGTCCTGCACCTGTGACTGCCCAGCTGGAGAGGCTAGGTGTTTACCTGGCCAACCTATTCCACCTGACCTCCGACACCTCCGCATCTATGGTCAAGGACACAGAGCTCAGGACAGAGGACGCAGGTCAGTTATGAAGGTCATAAAAAAGAGTAACAAACAAATTTTCAAAACCCTTTGTGGGTAAAAGCAACCAAGCAGAATTATTGAAAAAAAGGTAAAGGTAATCCCCAAACTTTTCTAAGGCTGTAGGGTCAGTGAGTTGTTCGTCCACATAGTCCACTGTGTCTTGGACACGGTATTGGAAGGTGGACTCCATCCCTCTCCTTCTACTGTCTTTTTTCCTCCCCAACTGAAGTCTGATACTCATTTTACACCTGGGTAGAGGGAGGAAAGTTGAGTAAAGTGCCTTTCTCGATGGTACAGCGTCTTGCCAGGAATACAAGGAATCAAACCTTTGTCCTCTCCATCTTGTATCTGCTTACCACTTCAAGCCACTCGATGTTGTGAAAGGTTTTTTTTCACATATTACTGTCATAAAACTTGCTTTATCACAGGATAATTGCTTGCAACTATGTATAGAATACTTACTAAAAAGGTCACATATTATCCTAATAATGGACTACAAGTATAACCATATACTAGTAACTGAATTTCCTACATTTTGTGTTTTACAGAATTGCACAATCTGATTGTGATAGGTGGACCTAAAGAAAACAGTTGGGCAGCAGATTTCATCAACACTGTTCCGTTAGGTTGGGATGAAAAAGGTATGAGACTTTCAAACTTGGTCTGTGTCACTGTTTTCCCTCAATTTCGATCAAAATTGATGGAAAAGAGTGATATCAAAAACAAAGGTTAGGAATAATGCCAACAAAGAAAGACAATTGTGAGTATTCTAGAGTCTGTAATGCATTACAGCTTCATTAACTTATTACTATATGTTGATTCCTCTTGCAATGATAAGTTGATAACTATCAATTTAATGAATTGATTGCTAGCAATATAAGTATCATGATTTTCTCTTTGTAAATAAATGTTATAAATCTGCAATAGAGCAAGGCAACTACTCAATGAAATCTCCACCATTCAGTAAGTTTCTTTACAATGTACTTTGGCTGGCTGCTGAAAGAAACGTTTTATCTACATGTATTTGTGAGGCCACACCAATATGATTTGTTCAATCTCGGATTGCCCACTTCAGTTTTTTTTCTGATTTCAAAAAAAAGAAATCTGAATCAACTCCAAAATATTCATATTTTGGTCCCAGAACATTTGGAGGAGGCCCCTTCTCTTCTGGGTTGTTCCAGTTTTCCAGCTATCAGTGCAGTGGTTTGATTAAAGATTTGAAATTGATTGTTTGCATTACAAACCAGCCTGGTATGTTGACTAAGTGACTCCTATGGTTAGCATTGGGGTTATCATAGGATGCCTACTTCTGTTTTTATTTCATTTTCCCTGTTGCTTCATAATTTTTTCTGAAAAAATCTGACAACCAACAAATCAAATTGGTGTGGTCTAAAAAGGAAAAAGAAATAAATATTTAGACCATGATGTCTCTCACTTCAGGCCTGACCTTGGGAGACTGTCGTTTCACCCACCCTCGTACCGGTGCCCTGTTCCTGGCCAGGCATGCTGGGAAGGGCCTGTCCCTGGTGCTGATGGGTAATTCCCTGTCAGGGCTGGAGGATGTCGTACAGCTGGGCAGACCCACCATCCCTCCCATGACAAGGTCTCCTGTAAGTAACACTCCAATGGCAAATGAGTTTATTATTTCATAACCTCTGGGTACAGTCTGAGGTATTGTTTGGAATGTTTTTGTGTGTTTTGTGTTCATAGGTAATTGAATGAAGGCCACTTAAATGATGAATGGTAGGAAGAGGGGGGGGGGATTTGGTAAGTCAACACTCCTTTATGGCCTCCAGGTATAGAGGTATTGCTTGGGATGTGTTTGTCTATTGTCTATTGTTTGTAATTGGATACAATAGAGTGGCAGGAAGGGAGAGGGGATTTGGTTACTGCAGATTGACCTTAAGGTCAAGTTGGAAGGAAGTGATTGCTGGCCATCCGAGGAAATGGTGGCCTCACCCACACAAATCACCCACAAGGCTAAGACTGCAACATCAAAAGAACATTATTATACATAGAGAATATTACTTAATATATAATAAATTGCATATTAATTATAGTAGAGCTTTTTTAAATTGATGGCTTTTTTTAATGTGGCACTCAAAGGGTACATATACCCAGTAGAATTATGAAAGTTGACCTTATATCATAGCAGCACACAATGGAGTCTTGGGCTCTTCTCATACCAAGGAGTGCAAAGTTTGCGTTTTTTTCCAATCCTTATTCCCGTATATCTTTGTGTTTACTTCACCATTTTTCACAAGGGTTTTAGAATTTTACCTTTTTGCTGCAAAATCTACCACACTCCAGTAATGTTTTTTTTTTTACTACAGTTCTCCAACCTGGTGCCTGACTTTGTCCTGACTGGCCCAGAGTTCCAGAGAAGTGGCCCAGGTGGTTACCTGTGTGCTGGGTTCTGGGGAAACCATTGGGACCTGAGGAGGGAGCTTGTATCATGTGCCTGCTAGAGCACATCGGCAGCAGAACGTACTGTGCCTGTACTCTGCAAGCAAAGTTTAGGCTTTGGCTTAGTTTTCATGTGCTTTTAGGTGGTTTTTTTTTTGGGGGGGGGGCTGTTTTTTGTGGTGGTATCTTTTTTACACGAACCCTTTGGGTGGCAAATATAGTAACTGCCAGGCAAATGGATACTACCTGGCCAATCTGATTCTGCCTTTTAGCCACCAAAAATCTGCTTGGAGATTACTGTGCTTACACAAAACCTGGATTCCTCACGGGTTTTGTTGGATGTACTTTGGTGCACATTGCATCAGAATTTAGCCTGTTGCAGGCTTTTCTGACAAAACATTTGAAAATAGATTCTGCCAATACACTATGGGTCTCACGCAGGTGCAATACATTCTGCTAACACCAAAGAAATCTCTTGGTTCTCTAATTTTTCAGGAAAAATAGGCAGGTAGAATAAAAGTAAAAAAAAGAAACTACACTGTTTGAGGCATTCTGCAATATAATATTCACATAGACCCAAAATGCTTTGACTGCCAGAGCCATAATCCTAAAGGGTGCATTTGATATTTTTTCAAGTAAAAATTGAAGCAGTGAGTTGCGTGACCTAATATCAATATGTGTTAACTTTGCATACTGGTACAGTCCTAGAGATTGATCTTAAGTGCACAAGATTGAAATTATGTATAGATAGATGTTTAAAAAAGGCTGCTGGATTTTCTTGGATTTAAAGGTTGGTATGCAAGGAAAATTTCACATAATAGTGCTGTCTTGTTTTACAGGGGAAAATAATCTGTTCATGGATATTTTTCTGCAATAGTTTTGGCAATGGTTGTTTTTACTCTATGCTGCTTTCCACTTTTTGGTGCAATAATTCTAATGACTGACTCTGTGATTTGGTGACTTGGGAGATTTTCATTACAATACATTTTCATAGGATTTACTGTGTGATTGAAAACTTTTTTTTGGGGGGGGGGCAAAAATTCATGCGTGCCCGGATATCATCCATATAATCAAATCAACATGCCCTAATGGTGGATTAAGATATCAAAGGGAGGAACTGTGTGATATGTTAAACAGGGCACTGTTAGCAGAGCTCTACATCAAAGCAATCAAACTTGCATTGTAAAGGGAAGTTTGTTACCAAGGCCATTGTTCTGTAATATCAGACATAACACAGTATAATACAACACAGCTCACTCCGCACTTCAGAATACATGTATTTACATGTAGCAGTGTTTTCAACACTGTAGTGACTGCAGTCTGGTACACAATTTGATCTTGTTCTTCAAAATCATTTTGTGCATAAAAATATAATAATAACTGCATGCATACATTGTATACCACAGTAGTCCTCTTTGGATAAAATGCATAAAAATGAACATGTGATCATCCTGTCTTATAAATTACTACTGTCACTTTTCTTCTGAATATAGACTAATGTGTCCTGAGTGTATATTGCCTGCTACTAAAATCATTTCATGTGCAGAAAGCTCAGTTGAAAAAAAATATCACGCATCATTTGACAATGACTTGTATCATGAGCTTTGCTCAACAACCATTTTGCACCAAGCTGGTGTTTTGATTTTTTTTTTACAAATATAGATCACTATTTGTCATAAATAGAGAATGTCTTTGCTGGATATTCAGCGGCGCCAGCATGAAGTGAAAGCCCTGCGGCAGCGTGAGAAGAAAGCGGCCAGACGTCCCCGCTTCCTGACAGGACGGACTTGCTGCTGAGTGGCACCGTTCTCCTCTGTCTCCTCCTCATCTCCAGACTCCTCATCTTCACTACGAAGCTCCTGCTCACTGGTCGGGCCCTCCAGTGTGATCAGTTCGAACTCCAGCGGCTTGATCCAGAAATCAGGATCCACTGACGTGGTCACGACATCCAACAGATCTGAGGACGTCAGGCCACGTACCGGCAGGTCGTCAATAGCGTCCAATCTGCCGACTGGTAGGGTTGATTCTCTCGCCGTTGCCTCACAGCGAAAATACAGCCTGTGCAGCTCCTCACCGTCACCAAACAGCTCCTCCAGGATGTGATCATCAGAAGCCAGGAAGCGGTACCACTCTCCGTTGTGGAGTCTGTACAGCACAAAGTACCCACATCTGGCAGGCCCTGGTGCAGGGACAGGAGAGGTGGGCTGTTCTGTCAGCTGTTCCAACTCTGAAGGTCGGAGGCTGAGAAAAAAAGACAAAATTAAGTACACATAACCCTCCATAGGAGCTGTTACAAGCAATCGCATTCAGAATATTTTCTATTGTTCAGGCTACTTTTCAGGCTCCCAGTCATTAGATTGGTAACAGAGCAGGAGAAAGACATACATAGATTACATATATACTTAGTCTAGTATCCGGGCTTTGACCATAAATGATTATTGTATGTCATCACCCCCAAATCAGACTGGATTGCTTTTTCTGCTGATCGGACTGGACTTCTTTTTCCACCAACCCAGACATGGAGATGGGGCGAGGAATGGTTACATCTTCTGACTAATTTATTGGATTGAATGATTGAAAAGTTCTTTGGTGTGTTAGAATCATTCAGACTACAAGAATGAAGGAACATTGAAATAATGCTGTAAGTACCTGATCAGAGCCCTGTCAGTTCCTGGTAGTGCATGTGTGGGGATCCCACTGCTGACACCATGTGACTGACTGGTCAGGGACTCATAACTGCGCACCAGTTTGCTCACGTTAGCTGATCTGTAGATGAAACATGTAGAAAGAGGTTTCCATCAACAACAGATAGACAGTACTGTCTGAACTATGCAGGAGAATTCAGCAACCTACTTTGTAACCTAAGGCAATCGTTTTCTTCATAATTCCACCATATACAACAGACTGGCTAAAGCTGTAGATAGGATCCTCCCCCCTCTCGTGTTCTAACTGTTCTGAATATCGTTAGTTAAACCCAACTAAACAGTTCTTACTCGCTAAACGAGCTGGCAGCATCACCCTCTTGCCCGGGCTATTTAGGAGAAGGAACACAATGCAATAAGATCAACAAACAAACAAACAAACAAAGCAGAGCTAAAGAAACAGAACAGAGCAAAGCAACATATAAATTAGGGTGAACTTGTGAATAGTTTAATAAAATGAGCAGAACATAATATACAACAAGTATGAGAGGATAATAATTTGCTTTACCCAGGCTGCTCAAATGGAATTCTATTGATAACATCCTGTTAAGATTTAAATTTTGACATGGGGAAACTATAGATTCCAAACCCTTCAGGCTGGTGAAGATGAGAGAATACACAGACTAGTTTGATAACTGGTATAAAATCTCTGCTTCTGACCATAAATGTTGTTGAAATGATAACTTACCTTCAACTTCCCCTCATCATTCTTATTCGTCAGTTTTCTCAGGGTGGACTCGCTCAGGCTCAAGTCCAAACTTTCCTGAGTCTGCAGTGAGCAGGAAAGGAACATGAAAAATAAGTAATAATATATATATAATAAGAGCAACAAAACAAGATGAAATCCATTCATTTAACACACTGGTACGTCTAAGGAAATATGAGAGAATAACCTTTCCTGGTCTAGTTAGGGAATCAAATTGAATGTCTATAGTATATACTTTTCATTTACCACCTCGGTATGAAGTTTGATTTGAAAAATAAGGCTTCCGACAGGTTGAACCCAAATGTTGTTCAGTGGACAAGGATGAAGAACCTCCGTGTATCAGCTAGTGTAGGTCTTACCTCTACCTGACTCAAGTCGTTCATAGTCATCATCTTGCGCAGGGAAGACATCGTGTCGTAGGGGTTTTCTTCAACGAAGTACACTCGCTCTCGTACAGAACACCTACAGAGGTCATCAAATAAATCCACAAAATAAATGATTTGCTGGTTTCCACTGGCGGCAAGACGTCTACATACATTACTAACTGTCTACAAGATGTCAGAAATACCACCAAAGACTTCACTCTCTTCCCGTAAGCCTAAAATTTCCTTACAAGCGACAATGAATGAAGAATGAAGACCTTTATTGTACATTTTTGCCCCACTGGGCTAAGCACAGGTCACATTATACATATTCGAATACATCTTCATATAAATATACATATAACTATTACATGTACATGTATATATAAATGTCTAATGTATTCTAGTCTTTTCAACTTCTTCTCGCTTCTTAGTAATTGTATAAATGTAAGATGCTGTATGGGTAGTTAGATTTGGTTTATCAAAGGTTAACAGGAATATAAATTTTTCTTTACTTGTTAAGAATCCGAAGTGTGGAAATTTACTTAGAACATGTCCGAAGAGTATGCGTCTATCACTGTCATATAAAGGACAATCTATGGTGAAATGTACTTCGTCCTCTACTCTATCTAGACTACAAAATTGGCAGATTCTTTGCTCTAGGGGAGTGCGGTTATGTCTTCCTGCTTCAATTCGCAATTTGTGACAACTGATTCTTAGTTTTGTGATGGTGGATCTATGATGTACATTTGATAATTTAAGATATTCTTCTTCGTTATAAGAATGTTTTAATAGTCTGTATAATCTGAGTTTATTCTTTGCATTTGCAATTCTGTTATCGTTGTGGATTTCGGATAGAAATGTCTGGAAATAGATATCTTTTAGACGCTGGTAAATTGATGAAATGACAGGGGACGTGTTTGAGACAATTGACTGGGGATTTTGCCAGACGAAAGCATAACCACATTCCTCTAGAGTTCTGCGTACACCAGACGCCCAACATTTTGTACCTGATGCTTCTAAATCTACTTGACATAGAAGAGCGTCTGCCTGTAGGGAGTCAGCTGGTACGTTCTTATAGAGTCGAATGAAATACTTGATGGCATTAAGGGAGGCCTCTAGGTGAATGGGGTATCTCCCTAGTTCTGCCAGTGATGCAAGATTACTAGCTTGCATGATCTGTTATGAGTTCACTCTGTTCTGCTTAATTGTATATAGCCTAACTTTATTTGTGTTCACATTTTGTTTGGATTCTGTACCTCTGTTTCTCTGTTGTTTATGTATTATTTATTCTCAAACGGTGTCGTATAAGCCCACACGGGCTGGGCGTGGTATGCGCACGACACGAAAATAAAGTTTCATTCATTCATTCATTCATTCATTCATTCATTCATTCATTCATTCATTCATTCATTCATTCACTCGTTTCATTCACTAGCAGTTTTGGGGATGTTAAGTGAATGTTTGCAAAATTTTAAAAGGACTGATTCAATAGGGCAGAATTTTTGGCTTTTGAAACCCCCCCATATTTCAGACCCGTATAGTAAGATAGGTTTAATACAGGAGTCGAAGAGTTTGTTTTTAACTGTTAGAGAGGCATCAGCTTTGCTAAGTGACTGTCTGATGCTGAACAAAGATTTTAGTCCCTTGCTGCATAAATGTTTCTTGTTAGCCTTGAACGTACCAGCTGCACTTACCACTATACCTAGATAAGATAAGATATAACATTACAATTTCTATTACATTATCATTGAACAAGAAGGAACAATTCTTTGGTAGTCGACCTCCCTTAGTGAAGATAATTATCTTGGTCTTTTTTAAGTTAACTTTCAAGTATAACAATGACCTTGAGGTCTCATGTGACCTTGCGATGACCAGATTGTTGCGAACTTTTCGTGCTTCATTTCACCAAATATTAACACTTTTGGGTGGTCTATCAGCCGAAACCTCATGTAAGTAGAACTTTACACGTAAGATATGACTGAGATTTGCGACTTGTTTAGGATTTTTTTGCCAGATTTTTACCTAAAACAGGAGAGAGAAAAGTTTCCCACCTGGTTCTTGAGCACGAATCTTGTCGAATGTGTAGAATTCGAACCTGTGTCCATGGCAACCCTGTAAACATGGCGTTCGAACGCATACCGGGAAGAAAGAACCTGCGATTTCCGTTCTGAAAATGGGAACATCTGTCAAGAATCGTCTTTTGATAGAAATGTTTAAAGAAATATTCTCCCTTCTGATGTAAAGTTTTCAACATATCTAAGACAATATGATTAGATAATTTGAATGGGTCTTAAGAATTGGATGTGTTGGTTTCCTTTTTGGTGTGATATGGGATCATTCCTGCCATTATCGGGGATGGGTACAACAGTAGCAATCGGGTTGCGGTTGTGACGAACTTGGTTGTGGAAATACCTAGATTTGCACAACTCGTTGCTATAAATAATCACTACCAGAATTATGCACATCGCAACTAGTATAATGTGCCTCTCCTTTGTTTCTTGTAATTCAAGAGTGGAACTTACGAAGTCTTGACGGTAGTTATGTCAAATTACGTTTTTGAAACAACAAAATAAACGTTGACACAAAAAGTGACGCTTATCGGAAGGAAGTTGAAGTGCCTTTTATGTTTACTACCTAATCAAACCGCTTCTATTACTGCAGTGATTGTTTTTGGCTGCATGTTAGTTATCTAACATGCGCCGGAGTCGACTGCTATTTTCTTCCACAAATGACAACAAGAAGAGGGAACCTACTCAATAGAGAGACGCTTTTTGCTACTGAAATACTGGTAAGTGTATTCTGAAGCCTTTTTATACGTCTATTTTTCTACAGAAACGCATGCTGGCAGTCTCCGCCTCCCTTGTAGTTTGAACCACCTGTTGAAATCGCCATGGATCAAAAGCACCCCTAGGCGGCCAAAAACAATCACTGCAGTAATAGGATCGGCTCAGCCAACACTATGGTGCAGTCCTGCATTGAACTGCTAGAGGCCGCTTTTGATCCATGCACGTTTGTTTCGTAACTAATCAGCCGTAACGTTAGATATCTTCGAAGCTAGTATTCAGTCCTATCGTGGATTGGGCGGCATCTCTTTGGGGTTCTAGACTAGAATTAATGTTTTGTCCATGTTTTGTACCCGGGAAAAGTATTCATATTTTTTCCTGTGTGTGGATGGTGTTCAGCACCAAGGACAGGCATGCTTGTCTGTGTGTGGAAGGTGTTCATTCAAACGCAGTCCAGCGAAAATACGGATGAATAAAATTTACAGTAACAAGAAAATCGGACAAAATGTTATATTTCATCGCGTGGTCGCACAAATGTTATTCGTGAAAACGTTTATTTGTCAATAACAGGAATACTCATCAATTCACCCTGCGGCTCCATTCGTAAATAGATTACCGGTCTGACATTAATTAGACACGGCTGTTTTCCACACCTGTGTAAAACACGTTGGCGTGGTACTTTCAAAATGGCGATCTCGCACGACAGGGAAATTGTGGGCTACTATTCTTCCCCACTTTTTGGGTACTTTCTTGAGTTTTTGTCGGTCGAATTTGGTCGTAAGTGTGCAGCAGAACGCTGGAGGAGTTTTCTCTGTGGATGTGTGCCGTTCTGGTGACGTTTTGAAGAGAAAATGCGGATTTCCTGACCGGGTGAATTTTGGACAAGACAACAAAATGGCGACACAGTTGGAGTTGCGTGGTGCGGGAGACGACTTCGCTTCTTGTTTCAGGTAAACCAACAAACTTGTTGGCTGACAATTTCACATTATTCCCTTGCAACTAGTGAGAACATGTCAAGTTATATTTTGTATGAAATGACCTAGTTCTGTAAGTTACAAGCAACCGTTAACTTAAAACACGCTTTGAAAAAGTCACAGTTTGCAGCGTTTTCTTTAGCATTTTCCATGTGCAGCATATAGAGTACATTGTATTAAAATGTGTACTACGTCTTTTTGTCAATTTTGCAACGTTACGTTTTGAATTGTAGAAAAAAACTGACTTCTCCACGTGGTTCGAAACATCTGTTGGAATGTGCACGTGTGCATAAATTAATATTTCTGTTGTTCCCGCCAAAACACGGCGGTCTGTCACTACGGTATTCTTTCCCATTGCTAGGCGTGTTCTAAAAAGTATCGGGTTACAAAGCGCTATTTTGGCCTGTTTTGGACTACCCGTAAAACACTTGAAAATAAACAAAAAGGATTTAATAGTAAATTTCGTCAAATTAAAATGAAATTATTGCCTTAACATCCTTTTAATATTAGTTGTTTATGTTAAATCATTGATTTTGCAAAATTTCTCTCCGAAAGACGATTTTTTTCGGGTTTCCGACCACATGTCATGTCATGTTTTTAGGCAAACATCGTTTTAACCTGGCTACGTATATCACCCCAGGTCCCCGATTTTTATATTTTTCGACGACTGGGAATAAGATCAAAAATCGTGTTTTAGGGATTTTTTAATTTCCGATTTTAAGTCTAGTTTTTGTCGACATATTGGTGAAAAAATTGATTTTTTTTACATTTTTCGCAGTAAATTACCCATAATTCAAAATTGAGGTCATTTTTAAAAAATCCCTAAAACACGATTTTCGGGACAACTGTAACGGTCATTTTGAGCCGTGAATGGGGTATGCTTGACTCTCCATGCTTGCAGGTTAAAACGAGTTTTGCAGACATGTCATGTCGACCAAAAGTCCGCATTGTGTCATTCATACTGGTGAAAAGAATCATTACAGTATTCAAGGTCACCCAAGGATATGACAGTAGCTTCGCTATATGTTACATGTCCACAAACAAATGATAGCGGACATGTACTGTCCAGGAAACTGTTTGTATCTATAGAAAAGTGTTGTTTTTTATCTGTTGCAAGGCACGGAGGCAGAAAGGCTTGCTTTGCCGCTTTATTGTAAATGACCGTAGGTGACCCTGAAATAGAACGTGGGTTCGATTCGAATTGCCCAGATCGAACACGATCGAACACAGTTCGGGTTCTATGAAATGTGGGAACTTTGCAGCCAAGATTTTACCACCGTGAAAGCTC